TTGAAGATTAGCCCTCTAAAATAAGACAGTCAGACATAAACAAAGAAAAAAGAATGAAAAAGGAACAAACAACATCTTCGAGAAATATAGGATTATGCAAAGAGGCCAAATCTACAAATCATCGACATCCCTGAAAGGGATGGGGAGATACAAGCTGGCATAGTAACCAACTAACAACACAATGACAGGATCAAATCCACACATATCAATACTAACCTTGAATGTAAACAGACTAGATGCTTCATTTAAAAGGTGCATTGTGACAAGCTGGATAAAAAAAGCAAAGCCCAATGGTATGCTATCTGCAGTAGAACCATCTTACACACAATGATACACAGGTTTAAAATAAAGGGATAGAGGAAAATCTACCAAGCAAATGAAAATCAGTGAAAAAACAGGGTTTGCAATCCTAATTTCAGACAAAACAGACTTTAAACAAACAAAGATGAAAAAAGACAAAGAAGGACATTACATAATAAATTCAATTCAACGAGAAGACTTAAATGTCCTAAATATATATGCACTTAGCACAGGAGCAGCCAAATTCGTAAAGCAAGTTCTTAGAGATCTACAAAGAGCCTTAAATGTTTACACAATAATAGTGGGAGACTTCAACACTCCAGACAGATCATCGAGGGAGCAAATTAACAAAGATATTCAGGATCTGAACTTAACATTGGACCAAATGGATTTGATAGACCTTTACAGAACTCTGAACCCAGAAAACTAGTATATACATTCTTCTCATTGCCACATGGCACATAATCTAGAATTGACCACACAATCTAATGTAAAACAATTCTCAGCAAATGAAAAAAAAAATCATGCCAAACACACTCTTGGACCACAATGCAATAAAAATAGACATTAAGACAAAACAAATCACTCAAAACCATGCAATTACATGGGAATTAAACAACATGTTCCTGAATGACTTTGGGGGTTAATAATGAAATTAAGGCAGACGTCAAGATGTTCTTTGAAACTCATGAGAACAAAGAGACGACATACCAGAATCTCTGAGACACAGCTAAGGCAGTATTAAGAGAAAAACTTACAGCACTAAACACCTACACAAAAAAAGTTAGAAAGATCTCAAATTTAACAATCTAACATCACAACTAAAAGAACTGGAGAAGCAAGAGCCAACCAACCTCAAAGGTAGCAGAAGACAAAA